GAGCTGCAGTTAGGCCAACGACTGTGGTCACTTGCAGGACAAACAATTATTAATGTGACAGTGCTCAACAATTACATTTGTTTTTAGGAGCACTCGTGACACTAAATGAAAAAATGTCGAAGAAAATTTAGGAGCACAGTTTTTTGTTTTTAAAGAAATAGCATTAATACTGCTGTCTCAGTCATTTTAACAATAAAATAGGTACAAACACATGAACAGTGAATACTCATGAACAGAGCGCAACTGAACTAAGTAGTGGAGGGAGCCAGAACTGAGGGACACATAGCCCCAGGCAGGACAGTCCTGAATGCATCTCCCAGAAACTGTCAGGAGACAGCTGTGTGCTATACCTTAATGGAGACAGGCAAACAAAGTGGTTGCCCATATGCAAAACCAACTACTTAGCCACCACCCATAAAGTCTTTTCTCTTGTAAAAATAGATCACAACATTTGAAAACACTTCAAATAAAGCACAAATCTCACCTTCACGTGGCCCATCTCCCGGCTGGGGAGACAGCCGCATCTAAAACAGTTAGTTATTAACCATTAGCCTAACATGCTCACTATGGTTAAAACAGGATGGTGGATGGAGACTGCTAGTAACACTGAACTTACTGCTTCTCTACAAGTTTATGCTCGTTTAGCAGCTGTTTCGATAAATTACATACACTAACTGGCTTCTTTGGAAGTTTTTACTTCAAGTACAGTAATGAGCATAGGTGTTGTCACTGTGAGTAATACTTCACTTCACCTGACTCTCTTCCTCTCCTCTGAGCCTGCTCAGCTACTATCTGCTCTGTGTGTAGAGAAGCTGAGCCCCACCTTTTGTCACTAACCACGAATGTGACAGAGAAGCCGCTCCATAAACACTAAAACCTTATCTTCTGATCCACTACTGTCATTCATTGGCCTTTTCGAGTATTGATACAATACTCCCGGCCCTTACAAACCGAGAACTCAGGTAACTCAGAGTCAGTCATACTTGTGCACCCAAAAAAAATTGTTCCCACTCACACACTCTGACATTTATTCACATTTGTGAGTGAAATTCTCACATTGTCAAGTCCTGTGTGGGGGGGTTATGTGCACTGCAAGTAGTAGGCTTTAAATTATTCACACAAATAGTTGCATTACAATAAAGTTGTAGCACTGTATAGTATGGTTGCTGTGTAACCGTGCTATATGGGGGTGGGGGAGATTTCACAGAATTTACTACTTCACTTAATGCTACTGAAAATACCATGCCATTGGTATTTGTAAGAACCACTGCTGGTCTATATTTTCTGGTTAATTCTGGCCTCACACATTTTATGCCAGCTGATACCACAAAGTGGACGGCATCAGTTCTTGAAAAATGAGACTGCAAGGAAGAAATGGAAATATGACACCCCAGCTGAACTCCGTCCTGACCCCCAGGTGTGTATTTTGAATGGCAGCTTTTTAGACTCAGTGAAGTTCACCCATATTCAGAGGCTCATTTTGATGACAGATGAAGAGTCTGGATGGCTCATGGACCTATTGAAGGACAGTGCCTTGAGGTGGAGATTTAGATAGATTTCATTTCTCAGACTGCACCTCAGACACAAACACACACTCAGACAGCCTGTCCCATGTATAAGCATGCCCTAAAGACAGATGGCAGAAACAGAACTCAGAAAAGATGTCCAGGTGAATGTTAAAGGCTAAGGATGTTGACCACTGACATTCTAACAAGGTTGTCATTTTGAAAAAAATGGCACTAGAAAAAGGAGCAATGATTTATTAAATCTGGAGTATACAGTAATTATCAGACTACTGATTATGAATACAAGTTATGTTAATTATTTCAATTGGATAACTATATATTTTTCAAGCTTATTAACATTTAGTTTGTAAGTGCTGTCAGCTTTAGATATAGCCAATTTAAATGCCACAGCTGCCAATACAAACCTATGCATTTAAACTAACTGGGAGCAAATGGAGTCTTCACAGCATTAAACTCCAAGGATGATTAGATTTTTTTTCATAATATACTGAATGGTAGAAAATTCCCAGTCTCAGTACTGGGACACTGTTGACAATAAACACAGTGAAAGGCTTGTATGAATTGTTGTGGCCAGTGATTCAAAGTTCTAGAATCAGCCTAACACCAAAAAAAATAAGAACCAGGGATGAAGGCATGTATCGACTCCTTCAAAAGGTTTGGAAACACTTTCCCATTCAAAGTTTAATGGGAAAGTGTGTCCAAACATTTGACTGGTAGTGTAGGAAAATGATATACAAAATTACTTCAGTCTGATCTCATTACAACCATATTTGGAGTGAAATGAACAAATTGTATCAAATTTCGAGAGTTCGGGTTTTTAGTTTAATTCCTTGTATTTGGTTGACCCGCTGGACTAAACATTGCTCTAACAGTTTACACTGTTATCTTCACCTACATTACAACAAGAACATTCTGTGTCATGATCAGTTTCAATGCCACCAACTATACCTCTGTATCAACTGCACAATCAGTTGGACCTTTGGAAGTTAAATAAAAATGTTATAAATGTGATGTGAGCCCACACTACAGTCATCAAGATATACTGCATTTCCCAGTGTTTCATAAGGTCCCAGAAATCTTGGCTAACTGGGTTGGACTTTGCCCTCGTGGAGCATGGCTAAAGATATTTCATATCCAATTTATCAGACTTGCTGCTTGGCATGTGCACTGTAAAGGCACTGTTAACCCATGCAGTTTGTACAAGGTTAAGTGGCAAGTGGTTAAGGGGGTGGATGTTATAACCATGTAAATTATTTTAAGTGGGTTGAATTTAATTTAGTTACATGTGGCTAAACATGGCAGGATTAACAGTGGCTGCTGATTGCTGCTATTGTACTTTTTTTCTGCTTCCCCCTCCCACACCTGGACATCTCACATCACTGATCCTTGCCTTGGCCCAGCCTACATTTTTGGGTTTATAGACTACAATGAGGTTAAAGTAACCACCTACTAAACTAACATCACTGGCTTAGGTGGAAATAGCTATTCATTTGCACCTTATAAAGCTCTTTGTCTGTGATGTCGAAAGACTTTGAAAAGTCCAGGGAAAACCAGCATGAGTGTGTCTAACATTCTATATGTTTAGGTCTGCCTTGAACACCAAGGAACAAACATTTGTACTGTTTTGATTTATTCTTTGTATTTCCATTGGGGATCTTCTTTTTCTTGTCATTACTGGCTGCTACCTCTAGCTGTTAAAAATAACAACACATTTGGTGTTTGCAAGCGGAAACGATGTACGTGCTTATCTGCATATAGAGCAGAGCAGGGCAGGTCAGATTCGATCACTCAGGACACATTTGGGTACACATTTTAATGCCAGGTGAGACCACAGGCTCTCTTAACTGGCCACTTGTGTTCGGGTTTCCCAGGACGAATGTTAATGCCAGTTCAGAACAGGGCCTTAGAATAGAAGGATGGCAGAATATTCAGAATTAACAAATATCTGGCATCTTCCCAGACTAGAGTTACCTGTGTAACTGAAAATATCTTGACTGCTATCGCAGTATTGTGTGCAATGATGTCTATTGTCCACACCAGATGAAGGCACATGTGAGTCACTTTCCGATCACATAAGACTTTCCAGCCCCCCCTTTTGCTTGATTCTAGTCATTATACATGCATACTAACCTAAATCTTAGGGATGGGGGTGATACGACTTTTTCTTGATATGATTTGATGCACAATATGGTGTGTACGATTTGATTCAAAAATGATAAAATTAAAAATTCTATGACAACAATGTTTGATTAGCTGTGGAATACATGCACTTTAACCCCCCCCCCCCCTTTTTCTGGCACTGATTTGATTATGTAAAGAACAACCAGATATATTGACTTAACTTCGGTTCATCTTATTTATTTAAGAAAATGAAGTTACTGGTGTATGGAGAGCACACAATATCGCTAGACAAAATGATATATATAGTGACGATTTTGTATCATGATTTATTGTCCCATTCCTACTAAATATATATACTAGTCCAGATATAAAAATAAATGTATTACTTATTTCTGTGTTATTTGATTGGGACTGGCAGAAACTGCTAATGATTTTGCACATACATTACATTCATGCACACTAATTTAGAGCAATGTAATGTAAATTGCTTTCAAACTTTGATTTATTTATACACATATAATGTCTCTAATAATCTCTATCATGTTCCTATTTAACGGCCTGGTCTAGTTTTTGTGCTGCTGAATCTACCTGCTGTGGACCAAAACTGTTTTTTCCTATCTTAAATATATGTCATTTACTGTAAAGGATATGCATATTATTACCTGGAAGATTAAATTTATAGGTGACTTTAAAGATTTAGATCCTTATATCAAAAACAATAAAGGCAGCGCCATATCCTGCATGAGCTTCCTTAAGACATGTTTTCATTGAACAAACAGGAACATGCGGTAGTAACATGGCACACCTCAAGGAGTGGTGGGATTCACTCACAATAACTGTATACAGCCCAGGCCTGGGATGATATTTACGTAGACTGAAACGTGTTCTTTGGCTGTTGGGTAAAACACAGACTAAGCTCTCATGTTATTCATTTAACCATTTAAAGTAACACCTGAACTTCTGTTTGAAAAAGGGGCGAGGGCACAGGTGCTGCCCGAGGACTAAAGAGAGTGTAGCGTGGTCTTGCACAGTATGACGAGCTTTGAAGAGACACATAAGCACATTCCTCTCAAACACCTGCACACCAACACGCCTCACATATATCAGTGTCAACATGCAACCACCAATCCCGTTTTTACCAACTATGTGTGAAATTTGGACTATGGTATGACACATTTTAAATTCACTCTGAGCAGATATGGAGCTTGAGAAAAAGTCTGTCAAAAGTCATATGAGAATAAATTCCGGCAAACAAAACTGAAATGACAAGTTTATGCAGGCACAATAAACAAGTGGAATAAATAGAAAGTCATTCACACATACAGACATGCAGAAACAAACAGACAATATTACCGTGTCTCCAGGGGTCTTTGGGCTCCACTGCTCCAGAGACAATATCCGCATCTGAAGGAAAGGTCACCCTTTTGCTACTTGGTTTGTGTTTATTATCCCCCGCCTCCACTGAGGGGTACAGACCAGTCTGGTCTGTGGCAGAAGCCTCTGTGATGCTTGTGTGGCTTGTATCTGACAAGCTCTCTGCTGTGCTGCCAGCTGGGACATCCTGAGATGTGGAGTCTAAACTATTGTCTGAGAGTGATATAACATTTGTCAGTTCAGCCTCCAACACCCCACTCTCATCCAGACTCAGATCGACACCTGCGTCCATGTCCCCACCACCATCGACTTCATCCACTACAAACTTTGCAGGAACAGTGTTTTTATCTTCCTTCATTTTCTCCACTCTAATATTGTCCATGTGCTGCTCATCATTAGAAAAGATTACATCAGTGGGGTTTGCTAATGCTGGGGTGTCCTGGGGACTACGGTTTCTGTTTCCATTGACCTCATCAATCTCCAGTGTGTCTTGTGCCCGGTGGTTAGCCTCTTCAGCCTGAAGGTTGTCAGTGAGCTGAGGCATCACATATGTTTCGGAGGCCTCTGTAGGAACAATGTTTTGTTTCTCAGTGTTACTGTCTGACATCAGTTCAGAGATCCAAGGGGTGACCCCTTCTGTGTTGTTGGTAGTGTGGTGTGCATCATCCACACTGCTTTTTGCCTTAACATTGCACAAATCTAGACGCTGCTCTTGGATATTCATGTTTTCATTTCCAATGAAACTCAATTTTTAACTGTGCCAGACAGCCTAGATATTAGGTTAAACAGTAACTAGAAACCAACTGACATCAATAAGCCTGTCTCTGACCTCTGTTTCACAACAATATACACAGATATGCACCTATTCTGGTAACTTGATTAATCAAATGCTATTGCAATCAGTGCAATCAGACATTTATAACTATATTTTGACTGGTTTGTTGTAATCTAAATGATAGTTTCCACAAATCCTAAATCACAGGTCACTTATGAACATCCTTTAAAATGATATAATTAAAGTGCAATTTCACACATACAAGAAATTTACGTTCCCCATGTGGAAAAAAACAGATACAGTTTCAGTCATTGTTTATATATCAAACTATGTAAGTTTGCTCAACTATTAGCCAGGCAGGCAACCGCTATTTAATAATTTCTGCCAACCGTGTCCTATGCTTTTAGTAGACGACAAGCTCCCTGGTCGTCAGCACAATACCAGCAGCATGCAAAAGGACCAGGACAGTCAAATGGAATTAACAAGTCACTCAGGGTGCCTCCATTACGCTAGCAATGTGAGTTTACTGCCTGACACCAAACCAATTCATTTGCTGAATCGGGGCGAGCTAACGTTAGCTAGCTTGTTAAAGTTGTTATCCAACAATGACATCCAGGGCCGTAAACGGTCGCATGGCTGCTTCTTTAAGTGACCCCGCCTGTTTAACCCCGCCAAAGTCCATTTTTCTGTGTCAAGAAAAATATTTTCCGAATGTAACGTTAGCTCTCTTCTCACCCTCTGTAGTGCTGAAACTCGGCTCGCATCACAACCATCGACCAGCGGTAGCCAGAAAAAAAAACAGGCGTCACACTCCGAGCAACGAGCATGTTTCATCGGCTAATGTTACCATGTGGGAACCGTCCCGAAGCTACACTTGTTATAACTATTATCAGATTTTAATAAAGGTAGTCCGGCCACTTAGGTGTTCGGTCTCTTGCTATCCGGGGAAAGTCAGTTGAAGCGGTCTTTTCCAGCGCTACCACTCGCTAGCTTGTTGAAGTCCAACAACTGTTTGTTGTTCACACGTCGTACGTCAGCACGTCGTTACCCAAAGGGGTACGTTTAGCAGACGCAACGTTACCGGGGGCGGCAACCATAAACGGGGAAGTGACTTCACAGGTTTAAAGGAATATTTAGGTCACAGCATAGTTAATTAGCAAAGATGGTGTTGCTTACTTTGATTGAATCCTTGAACTTTCTCACGCATAAATCAGAAATAGTTTGCCTTTCACAAGAGTTTTTCCCCCATTCAAGTTATTTAAGCAGTAAAAAAAACGGTCTGAAACACCCTAATCATACTACCAAACATGGAAATGGTACTGGAATTTTGCATTTCTATAGGCTACAATCTCTTTTTTTCTTGATTGACATTGTATATTTGTGGCTACATTGTTTCACTCAAATTTTGCAAGAAAATTAGTGCTCGCTTTAGAAGAGTGTTTGAAATTCTGTTAGCCTTAATGCCCCAATCAACCATCTGTGTTATATTTTCAGTAGCAAACATGTTGGCTGGAGGGGGGTTCAAACCCATTGTTCCAGAACAGCTATAATTTTGAAATTTGTGCACTACATACATACATACATACAGGTGGTGCATCTTTTAGGCCAGTTAGACCTAGCTTTTATTTCACACAAATCTGAAGTTTGGACTTCTGACTCACTTCTCTGCAAAGCTGAATATCTTGAATTTGTTGGAATCAACTCGTAAGGATTGGGCTGTAGGACCCATTTATGGACAAGTCAACTTTGACCTTTGTTACAAATAGCCAAAGATAGAAACTTGTCCTCAGGACAGTTCAGGTACTTTCAGCAGCAAAGTCACAGCCCATCAGTTCCATATGCAGCTCAAAATGCCAATTATAAAAGCACAGCTGTGTTAAAGTGGCTTATACAAACAGGAGTTTTGGCTATACTCATTCTTGCATACTTTTGAGTTTTATACCTCTCAGATTAAAAACTTGCTGTAATTGAGGTCTCTGATCCTGACAACA